GCTGCAACATGAGATGGGATGAATATTTTTTTGCAGCACCAAAATTGGAGGGAAATTGTACCCTCTGGTTATTTAACATAGCCATGGAAAAAGGCCCATGTATAGATGGTCTACCTATTAAATCTATTAATAGCATGGTGATTTTCCATGGCTATGTTAGTCATAACCAGATGGTAGATGGTTTTTTCTTCCTGTTTCGATCGTTGAACGAATCCCAGTCCCAGTCCCATTTCTTCTCCGACCATCAGTCTGGTAGACTTGAGCGCCTGGTGAGATTCATACTGAAGATGTCTGCAAGTAGCTGGGGTTGTAAAACCGCCTTCAAAAACATCAGAGAGTTTCCACAATCGAGCATTGCCTTCAAAAAGAACGGGCCTCCGCTTTATAATAGGAGCAGCTGACAATATCAATGATTGATGATTCATGATGATTTCAGAGGGCATGGACCTCCATTATTTGGGAGGAATTTGACACCAACCCTATACTAACAGTTTATTTGTAAACTAGGTTAACGCGCCCTTTAACCGCTGTAGGGTTGGCTGAATTCTTAAAGAAGGTATGGTTTAGGTTGCCATCAGCGCGCCCCAGAAACTGCGTCTACACAGGGGATTAGTTATGATCAGATGGCAAGCAGAAAGGGGAGTTGAAACTTGTTCAAGCCCCAACATTCTAGTACCGAAGAGCAAACAAATTGAAGACACATATCATATAATATGTAAAAACTCCTGCAGTAAAACCATGTGTAATATATGTCATCGATCTACTCTGTAGCGTTGGTTCAAAAAGAGCTGAGAGCTTAGCGGATTTGTTGTATTTATCCCCATTGTCGGTTGACCTGGTAAAATACAGGTTATCAGCCGTAGTCTCACTACTTTGCTATGGGGACCCCAATTGACCATCCTCTCGCCGTTCCAGGGTCAGGTCCATCGGCTATTGCTGTGCCGAATGTGGCCGGGGGCAACCCCGAGCCGATGGATGATGAAACAATGTTCCAACCCGTTGTTGCGTACTTTACCTTCATACAAAACAACCTGTCCCAGATTACTAGTGGGAATACCCTGCAAGTCATGAGGGAAGCTGAACAGAGGCACCTTCAGATAATGCATGGAGTAGTTGACTCAATTCGAAACGAATGGTCAAGTAGACTCGTAATGCAAGAGCAGGAGTATGAGCAAAGGCTGCAGGAGGTTGAAGGTAAGGCCATAAGTGCCCTCAACGAGGAGAGGAAACGAGGCGACGAGATGGAGGTCAGGTTTAATCAGGCTCAGGCATCGCATGACAAAAGAATAGAGGATGTAAAGGCAGAGGCAAATACAAAGCATGATCAGAAAATTGCAGAGGAAAGGCAACGTATCACTAGTGACTTCGAAGCTTCCTATGCACAGACAGTCGAACATGCAAAGAATGCCATAGCTGCCACAAAGAAGCAATATGAAGATCAGGCTGCAATTGATCAGGCCAGGTTCATCAGTTTGAGGACCGAATTCGAGAACTACAAGAAGGAGATGGCCGACAAGATCAACGAGGCAGCGGCTCAGAACCTTAGCCTTCAGGACCAAATCGATGACCTTCAGGAGCAGTTAAAGCATGTTGCCAAAGCGCAGCATGCCTCCGTTCCGAAAGCATCCGTCCAGAATGCCGAGCCGGCCGCTACCACTAGCGTGCCCCACTTCAATATTGCCACTCCCAAAGCATCCGATGCACAGGCTGCCAGAGGCAGTGATGAGCCGATTCTTGAGTTGAAGACGCCTGCAGTGTTGGCGCAGGAAGCAAAGGCCAAGTTGGATGAGCTGCTCAAAGGTGGCAGTCCCAAGCAAAAGCCGGCTGTCGGCAACGACCAGCCCCAATTGCCAACGCAGTCAGGGTTTTTCACTCCCACTGAAGCTATCAAAACTCCCCCAAATGATTCCCCTAAGAGCGTAACCAAGCAACAGCAAGTGATGGGTCCCTCAGATCTTATTGAATTGGTGAAAGCCTTAACCCAAAGGGAAGAAAAGGATAAGCCAAAAACTAAAGAGGCCGAGATCATCAAGCTGAACAACATGCCCGCTCCGGAGTCGTATAGGACTTGGAAGAATCATGTCAGGGATGAAGTGAAAAGCTGTTCAGATCGCCCGGATGAGGCGTGGCTCTGGCTCAACGAGGTGTACGATCAAGAGTGCACCAGAGAGCAGTTGGAGAAGAAACTCCAAGATCCTGGAAAGTTCCTCACGCTGGATACAAAGTTATCAGCAGCGCTCACGCGCTCAGCCGGAGGGGACCTCGCAACTAGGATCTTGAATTTCAAGGAGCAGCAATCCCGAAAAGGCATCCAGGTCAGGGGAAGGTATGTTCTGCTCATGTTTGAGGACTACTTCAAGACATCAGAAGAAGCAGGTAGCCTTTACAGAGTAGAAGATCTTTTGGGTGTTGTCAAAGTAGGCGATACTGTCCAGGATCTCCGAAGATTCATCAACAAATGGGATGCTACCCTAGCTGGCATGGCTGTCACCCCTGATGATGCTGTGTTAAGGGACATCTTGTTGAGGCAGATCCGACCAAGTCAGTTGCTGAAATATGACATTGAGATGTTTGACCGTGCTCATGAGAAATCCCATGAAAAAGTCTTATAGTTTTCTTCACCAATCCATGAAGAACTTGATCGATCGTGAACGATTGAGGGAGAACAGGAACCGCATCGCGGAGAAGAACAAGGCTGGGATCAAGGACACAAAGGCCGCACCTGCCAAAGGCGATGGTCGCGGTGGCCGAAAGGGCTCTCCAAGTCGCGGTAGATCGCAGGAACGAGGTGGCAAAGGTGGCAAGATTTGCTATAAGTTCCAAAAGGGTACCTGTGATAAGGGGAAGAAGTGTCCATTCAAGCATGTCAAAGATGATAAATCTCGAACTCAATCACCCAGAAGAACCAAAACACGTTCACCATCAAAGGGCAATAAGGATGATAAGGGGAAGAAGATGTCCAAAGAAGAAATGGCCAAAACCCCATGTATCTATCATGCCCAGGGAAAGTGCAGACGTGGTGACAAATGTTTTTATAAGCATGATGACAAAGCTGCTGCCGCCACCAAAGACACCAAAAGGGCCAATTCACCCGCTCCCAAGAAGAAGAGCAAGGATTCCACAGCCGCTCCATGCCTGATCCAGAAGTTTGCATGCATCGTTCGAAAACAGCCGAAGGCAACTTCGTGCTCTGATGAGGCAAGTGTCAGCATGAAGCGTCTTAGATTCCGAAAAGCCCCACATGTGATCGAGGTGAAGGCAGTCGGTCGTCAGGTCCCAGTCAAGCACCGTCCAAGAGAGTTCACTAAGGTGTACAAGACAGCTGAAGATGTTCCAGTTTCATCAAAGGTTGAACAACATGAGGCTCAGGTTCGTGCAAGACAGCTTCAGGAAACTGTGAAACTTCATGATTCAGATGTTGCACCGAGTTGTGGGTTTTGTTGTTGGAATGAGGACACACGTGACATCACATGCAAAGAATGCAGGTTCATCAGCGGTCCCAAAGCCCTTAGAGACATTGGTCGTTTCCCGTCAATTGCCACAGCTGCGCCAAAGGCCGGCGTTAGTTGGCTTGTCGACTCAGGTAGTGAATCCGATCTTGTGTCCAAAGGAATGCTGAGGGATGTCAGTGCCAAGAACTGCCGTGCAGCCGAGCATCCGATTTCCTTAGTCACAGCCAATGGTTCGACCGAGGCAAACGAGGTTGCCGATGTCAAGTTGTCCGCATTGCCAGATCCCGTGCATCCGTATGTACTTGATCATACCCCAGCTGTGCTCTCTGTAGGAACGAGATGTGTAGATCAGGGTTACAGTTTCGTATGGCCCGCTAATGGCAAACCAATCCTAGTCCGTCCAGATGACAAAGTCGTCCAGCTCAAGATCGAAGGTCATGTCCCAATCTTGGATGATAGTTGCAAGGTCTATCCCAAAGATCAATTTCAAAAGGATAAGCACCTCAAAAAGTTGTTTGCAATGCCGACCTCACGGTCGAGCTCAAAAGCCAAGCGGGACGAAGTCCAAGATGAAGAGCAATTGGACGAGCTGGTGGAGGATGACGCTCAGCAGGAGTACATCCGAAGCCGTAAGACTGAGGATTTGTTGGCTGAAGCTGCAAGTACCCAACATCAGTACACGCATTTCCCCAAGAACCCCTTTTGCAGAACCTGCCAACGAGCAAGGATGATGGCACCTCAGGCACGAAAGAAGGGTGGTCAGAAGAGAATCGAAACTGAAGTGTTCGGTGACCACATTATTGGGGATCATGTCATCATCAAGAAAAATGTAGAAGAGGGTTTCAGGGGGGAGCAAGTTGCATTGGTGTTGAGAGATCTGCACACCCAATATCGGTATGTCTACCCTAGCCAGTCCAAGGACTCACAAAGCTGTGTTGATGGTTTGAATCACTTCATTGGATCAAAGGATGATGTTCAAGTTGTGTACACTGACAATTCCCCAGAATTGATCAGGGCCATCAAGGATTTGGGTTACAGACACCAAACTTCCATTGAATATGTAGATTCATCAAAGTCTTTTGCTGAGCGCGAAGTTCGTCAGATGTTGGAAGGTGCCCGGAGCAACTTGTTGCAATCAGGGCTTCCTTTGAAGATGTGGCCATTGGCCATGCAGCATCATGCGACCGCGATCAATGCAAGCCCCCAGCTTGACGGCAGTGAATCCCCATGGCAACTCAGGTTTGGGGAAGAGTTCCCTGCAATGCACATTCCATTTGGTGCCAAAGTGTTGTTCTGGAATAACCCCAAGAGGTTGGATAACACATCAGGTAAGCTCTCCCCAACAGCAAATGAAGGAATTTTCCTTGGGTATTACATCCAGCCAGGTCATGATTGGAAGGGTGAATACTTAGTTGCCAAGTTGGAAGCTGCAGATTATCATGTCAACTGGGGTGCACTGACAATCCAAAGAACAAAGAGGTTGGAATTGCCATCCGAGGGTTTCATCTTTCCTTTGAAAGCTCTGATTGACTCGAAAGCACCCAAAGC